CATCCCAAATTCGATACCTGAGCCACATTTTGGATCCAAATTCTGGCTCTCTGCACCTATTCGCCGCTTGAAATTCCGACTTTTTATACCAAAAATCTGCCAATTACTGCAGGCGGCGTTGGGTCACATTTTGCCCATACCCCCCTGCAGTTTTCAAAATATCCTAAACATCCCAAATTCGATACCTGAGCCATATTTTGGACCCAAGTTCTGGATCTCTGCACCTATTCGCAGTCTGGAATTCCGACTTTTTATTCGAAAAATCTGCCAATTACTGAAAGCGGTGGTGGGTCACATTTTGCCAAAACCCCCTTGTAGTTTTCAAAATATCCCAAACATCCCAAATTCGATACCTGAGCCATATTTTGGACCCAAATTCTGGCTCTCTGCACCTATTCGCAGTTTGAAATTCCGACTTTTTATACCAAAAATATGCCAATTACTGAGAGCGGCGGTGGGTCACATTTTGCCCAAACCCCCCTGTAGTTTTCAAAATATCCCAAACATCCCAAATTCGATACCTGAGCCATATTTTGGACCCAAATTCTGGCTCTCTGCACCTATTCGCTGTTTGAAATTCCGACTTTTTATACCAAAAATCTGCCAATTAATGCAAGCGGCGATGGCTCACATTTTGCCCAAACCCCCCAGCAGTTTTCAAAATATCCTAAACATCCCAAATTCGATACCTGAGTCATATTTTGAACCAAAATTCAGGATCTCTGCACCTATTTGCAGTCTGAAATTCAACCGTTTTATAACAAAAATCTGCCAATTACTGAAAGCGGCTGTGGGTCACATTTTGCCAAAACCCCCTGCAGTTTTCAAAATATCCCAAACATCCCAAATTCGATACCTGAGCCATATTTTGGACCCAAATTCTGGCTCTCTGCACCTATTCGCAGTTTGAATTTCCGACTTTTTATACCAAAAATCTGCCAATTACTGAAAGCAGCGGTGGGTCAAAATTAAATGTTTGAAGATTATGGTCATCTGTAGAGGTAGACTGCATATATACTTGCAGGTTAGAGTTGCTTCCTTTATTGAGAGAAATAAAATTTTTACTACATAGCTTTTATAATGGCAAAATATATATAATTAGATATGGAGATCAGTTATAGACAAAGTTACTGGGAAGCTTCATTAGTGATGGAGGTGAACTTCATTTCGATCATATAAGGGAAGAACAAAGTGTTGGGCAAATTTGCTACTGAAAATGTTTGATAGCAGGACCTCTATCACTGCAAATGTCATGCCTGGTTATCTTTCACACTGCAACCGTAATTCCAGGTACTCTGTCCCACTGCAGGTGTCACTAAAAAACATTTCTCCCACAATGTGAGTTACTCTAAGCTATCTGTGGCACTACAAGTGTCATTTAAAGCTATATCTCCTACTACTAGTGTCAATGATAGTTATCTATTCCACTACACATCTCAATGGTATCCTTTTCCATTCGGGAAAAAGTTAACGTTTTAAAATGATACATCAAGTGCTACTTAAACAACTTTAAACAACTTTCCATCACAACTTGTCTTATCATGAGAGGTACCATGACTGCTGTAATTATATCTCAATAGTTAACCATATTTGGGAGACACTACGTGCCCCAATGAAACACTGACACTCACTAATGTCTAATCGTCAAAATTTTATATTTTATTTTGTTCATAAAAAATATATTAGCACTGGTCTAATTTTCTTCGTGTTAACATTAAGGATGAATGTTTCGTTCATCATGTTTTAGCCAGGAATACTATTTCCCTTCGATATATAACTTTAACCTAAGGACTATAGTGAGCGAAACGAAGTGCCTTAGTTTTTCAAAAGAATTCGTTAATTTTTTCATTGGGACTAAAACTTTGAGTTAATTAGAGATAAGGTAGAATTTTCTCAGCTATGTTTTTGTTAAATGTTTCGTAATTAAACCAGCGAGAGCCAAAACAGGACAAAAAAATCTTCCCCAACACCTTCGATTACACAAACTTGAAACTTGATATTGGCCTCACTACAGTTTCAAAGGTGTTTCAGGTGAATAAGATTAACAATGATAATTATGTTATGGATATTAAAAATTGGCATTCAGAATTTGGAACTCCTAAATTTTCTATATTTTATTCTAAGAAAATCTAAATATAGATCATGGGCGAGCAACTGGCAGAATGACACCAATATTTACCCTGATATTCCTTATCAATTACTGTACTACTCGTACCAGTTTATCGGCATCTCAGAAATTGATGCAATTCTACACTTCTTTGATATAATAAAAATAGTACTACAGATAATATTCTAACAATTATAATCTCAGTTTGGTTTCCAAAGAAATTTGTTTGAAATATTTGTTTTCAAAATATTTAGCTAGGTCCAAAAAATCGTTGTGAGTGATCAGAATGTGATCTTGACATGATGTTCTGCTCTTGAATTCTGGTGACCCTGACCAGCCCATACCCCAGACCAATCACCCATCAACGTTTCGTGAGGCTAGCCACAAGCGTCTAGCCCCTAACTTCGAACAGACAGATATTCTCTGTTATAGATATAGGTATTCTATGTTTGTTATTAATTATGACCGATTAGGTTAGATCAATTATTTTATCACGAATTCTTTATATATTCCATGTGCGCTTCTTCACCTGAAAAGGAATATGATCAATTAACTTTAAAATGTTCATTTTAAAACTTGGCTTGACGCTAAACAATGTATTATGTTGCAGTATATACATGTTAGCTACAGCCCTAACAGCCCGATTGTGGTTAGCCCTCCAGTATATTTTACCAAGTAGGATGAGGTGAAGTTAAGTGTTACCTAGTCGATGTTTCCTGAAGTAGGGAAGATTTGATTTGCATCTTCAGCCTTGGTCGTGAGGATGGTAGCATATACGTAACTCTAAGCTTATTGCTAATAGTTGAATAAGTGTTTGATATGTAGTGCTTCGCCTATATCTTATCTTTTATTTTCGTAGTATCTGTCGACTATGTCGATGATTTTTGTCAGAATATCTCTGGTGAGTGTATGGTTGTATGCCCAAAAATTAAGAGTTTTCATCGATCTTTATGGTTTATGTATCGTCAGGTGAATTTAAAAAGATGTTATCAATACAATGAGATCCTTGGGGCTGACAGTCCTCCAAGTGTCTCGGCGTAAGAGGAAGATGGAGAGCTCAAGCTCGCATTTTGCCTTCTTGCAGCACCCCCCTCTCCTCCTCTCTCTGCTTCCCTACCAGCCCCCACTCTCTGCTTCCCTACCAGCCCCCACTCGCTGCTTCCCTACCAGCCCCCACTCTCTGCTTCCCTGCCAACCCCACTCTCTGCTTCCCTACCAGCCCCCACTCTCTGCTTCCCTACAAACCCCTTCTCTCACCGCCCCATCTCCCAGCCGGTTCCTCAGACTCCAACCTTCTCCTAGATAAGCATCAATGGGAAATGTGGGCGAGTGAGACTGGCGAGGTGCAGGTAATATCCGGGACTTTGTCCCGTCCGGCCCACATTGACGGGACGCCTTCCCTTCCACCACACTCTCCTCCAACACAATGTTTTCCCGACGTCATCAGGATGACCCCCACCTCCACCACCTTCACCATCACATCTTCACATTACCTACAAATAATTACCCAAATCACACAACATCACCTCTAATTCCTATAAAATCACGATGACCGGTACACCATCACCAACACAGTTACAATTGGTCAAATTTATCACTAAACTCCAAATCGTACGTTACAGTTACCACTTAAATTATTACGATCCTATTTAACGTAACAGCCACCACAAATAAAGTAGCAAACTATCACCAAAATATAACGCAGGTATGATATTAAAACGTGTTTGGACGCCTCGTTATTGATTTATGAAACAAACACCCGGGTACCACAATAGACCAGGGATCTATTGATTGTTTCATTCGTAGATTGGACATATACACCCATGAATTTGGGTGGATATAAAAAAGAACTACTTCGAATGAGCCAAAAGGCCTTCAGCACTTTCCTTAATGCTTGTGTTTGTTAGTTCTTCTTAACATCAGCCTGAACTTTAAAGAAATCACAACCAACGTGTCTACCACAGGCCTTCAAAAATATGGCTGTGACTGTCTGTATGACAGACAACACATCCACAAATTACAGCTACTTATCTACCTTGACACTTTTAAATTATCATCATCTCTTTTTCACGTCTGAACTGCCTTGTAATATAAGAAATATTATTCATTACATCAAAAATAACAATGAATAACCTCATATAATACCAGTAACAACCTCATACAATGTGCAGGAACACTGAACAATCTCACGCAAATGTGCAGTAACACTGAACAACCTCACACAATACAAAATAACACTGATTAACCTCAATAAATTACTAGTCTCACACAATCAACAATAACAACGAACAACATTATACAGATAGCATTAACATAGAACAGTGCTCCTTGCTTTACACAGTTGGAGGATCTGCAGGACATGGTTGCACTGTTGACTTTTCCACTTTGCAATGCATCATATTCTGCATCACTGTTTCTGCAACACTTTGTCAGTCAATTACATTTGTGTAAATAGAATACATAATTTTTTTCAATGCCTTGAACTTAGGCCCGTGGTTTTTGGTCCCCCATTTAATGATCTTTCCTTCTACCTATTCCACCCGTCATTTACTCATTACCTATTTAATGAGCTCATTTACCTCATTTACCTATTTAACTATCAGTTACAACGTCAACAACGCCAGTAACATAGGCGGTAACCCACAGTAACCCTTACCAGCAACAGATCCGACAACATTGGAGGAGGTAGCCATCACGACCAACAACACAAACAGCGATAACAAAACCAGGAACAGCAATTTTCGGCAAAATAAGCGGCAGTAATGACAACCAGTGACATGAGCAATAGCAACGCCAAGAGTAACAGGAGCAGCTGTGATCACCTCCGACAATAGAAGCCTCTATAACTCTAGCAGCAGTTCCGCTATCAGCAGCAGGTGCACCAGCTTCATAGATGACCGAAGCAGAGGCATCAGGGGCGACTGCGACAGAGGAAACAGCACCAGACGCGTCAACAACAGTTGCGACAGCAACAGGGTCGACAGCAACAGAGGCGACAACAACAGAGTCGACAGCAATAGAAGCGACAGCAACAGAGGCGACAACAACAGAGTCGATAGCAATAGAAGCGACAGCAACAGAGGCGACAACAAGACAGCAGTGTCGCCACCTTCGTCAGCCAAGGCCCACGCCAGCGGGAGTTGGCCGGGCTCCAGACATGTTATGGATAATTTTATGACTCAGCCTGTAGCTCTACATGGAATTTTTCCATTTCTTGAGCTCTCCATCTTCCTCTTACGCCGAGACATATACACTTTCACGACATTTACACAGGCGGAAGTTGGCAGCATAGCATAAATAGCGGTCAGCCCTGACAATCCCATTCGCTCCACGAGATTTTCCTCCCTCTCTTATATAGCCTCCCAAGGCTGCTCACACTTTTCCTTGAGACTTGTACATCCTCTATTGGACCTCTACTTGTTGACAGACTTCTGTGGTTTATGAATTTATTTACTGATAGAACGCTTATGACTTGTGATAGTCTCACTCCGAATTATACAACCACCGTGAACATCCTCTCCACACACCCTACAGTAATATTCTCCATGCATGACTACCGTGAACCCTCACGCTCTCCCTTAATGAACCTTCCCCCACACCGCTCACTCTTGTAAACCCCTCCCTCACCTCATCACCATCTCCATCCCTCCACTCACCAACACTACTCCACTGCCATATTTACTCATGATCTCTGCCCCCTCATACAATAGCAACAAAGGAACAACGTGCAGTAACAATACACACAATTTGTTCATTTAATACACACAATGTGTGGAACACTTGCAACACCTGCATACCCAAGTAAATAATATAAATAAACATGGTGTTGAATTATCTACTTGGTACCACAACCTCGTCCCAATCCTCAATCTTTTCCCAAGTGTCACCAGCCTCTGTATCCATTGCCAATTTACGCTCATTATCAACTTCCCCTACTACCCTCATATGTATATATTTTCAGACGTAAAATTAATAGAATGTGAGGTTCAGTTAAAGGACCTGAGCCATCCATAACTGAGGAAAAGGAGACAGAAAAGGCATGGTCTAAACTTATTTGATACACAAGTTCATCGATTAAATAGAAAATAAAATTTTAAACAAAGGTGCAAAGAACAGGGAAAATCAGATGTGACTATAATGCTCGTAACATTTAGAGAAGAATGAGGCTTATGATTGGTATTTCATTCACTGGTAATCCGCAGAAATTTTAGTGTTTTAGTTAAAAAATGATCTTTATTAATGAGTGTATGTTTCCAAGCAGAAAGAGATTACAGATAGAGGATAGAATTCAGATTAGATGTAAGAGTATACAGTTACATTCAAGATTCTCTAAGAAGTGAAACTTCTAACGGTGGAAGTGAGTCGACGACTAAACCCCCACACAAGAAGATGAGGAGACGACCACGTTTCGGTCCGTTGCGGACCATTATCAAGTCGAGTGTGATAATTCTTCGAAGTGAGTCGAAGTAATGTCGTCTGCTGAAGACTGATGCACCGTGATCATTTTTTATAAGTTTGCAGAGTCTTAGGAAACTTGTTGGACGGTAGTTTGAACGTTACTATACGTTGACAAAATAAATAGAGGTATTTTGGGATGTGGAAATAAATCTCCACTCAAGTGATGCAAAAGATTAAGTGTTAAAGGTGTTTAATAAGCATTTTATTAAATGAATCCTGCTCTCTTTGAGACAGAAGTGAAGACAAAAGATTGACATTTAGGATTGAAGAGGTTTTATTTTTTTTCGGAAAAGTTGACAGACGAAAGTCAAGGTATCGGGTTCGCGCTATTTCTTTGTATTAGTGGCTGTTAATCGTTTTAAACAACTGTGGGTATCCTACACAGAAGATGAAAACAATAGTCATGAAGGCTGTACCCTTGGAAATTCAAATTCAAATATAAATCATTTATGTGGTTGCTTTTACCAAAGAAAAGGGCAGTTGTTGAGCCACGTGACTAAGCTGCAGTCTTTAATAGAGAGAAAGTGAAGATTACAACTATAGAGTCATTGTAATGAAACAGAGGAGGCAAGAAAACAGACAGAAGTTGTACAATCGACTCTCTTGTATATCATGGATATACTTTTCATGAAGGAAGGGTAAACTCTCCTTGTGGGGGAAGAATATGCTCACACCTGAGGAGAAATATATACTATGCTTGAAGATGTTATACCTCTTCAATGGAAATGTTAACGCTCCTCATGGAATGTTTATACGCTCCTTCAGTGAAGGGTTCTCCTCTCGGAATGTTTGTATACTATCATCGATGGAAGCGTTCATTTACAACGATTTTTTTTTGTCACTGATATTTCTGGGCAGCCATGTGTTTCTCACATCAGTATTACTTGGGTGGTGGATGAGTGTTTATGTCGTGGTTTGGCAACAGTAACGTTACATATTATATGTTTTACACCTTTTTTGCGTTTTTATATCTCAGTGGCTACCTTATTTGATTTATAATTCTGTATATGGGTATTTGATTTTTTATCTGTATATGGGTATCCACGTCTATAGCGGTCCATTTGTGTTCATAATTGGTCGAATTCTTGTATCAAGTCGTAGCTGCTGTGTTATGGTCTCTGTACATCTTCTGCATTGGTCTAGCTGTAATTATTTTCTTGTGCTAGAGTCTTTAGGTACGTGAATGTCTACATTTCTCATTTTGGTTGTCAATTTTCCTGCTTGGTCCGCAGTATTATTCCCTGGTATTCCTACATGACGTGGCACCAAAATTATAAATATTCTATGACCCTGACATTTGAGTGTTTACTACAACTTATTTGTTCAGATGGATATTGTCACCACAGTGCTGTTGTTGAAAGGTTTCAGTTGCAATTCTTGATACTTCATGCATAATATGTCGTCGATGTTCAGAAAGAGCTTTTTTGAAGATTTGTGAATGGTTATCATCTTTTTTGTGTATGTAGAGGGGAGCACCTATTTCAGAGTCTCCAGTAATGTACAAAATTACATTACATCTTCCCCATACACTCAGGTTCAAATGAGTTTTCCAATGGGTGCTGATCCATCTGTGAAATATGTAACACTGTTGGATACTGAGGTCATTTCTACATTCATCAGTGCAATGATGTTTTGCAAATGTGGGTCTTATTGTTTTTTCCTTGATCAACCAGAACCTAAGATCTGCTGGCAACAATTTCAACGGTGTTTGCATAATGAGATCCGAATGAATTTCGTCGACAGCTTTTTCACTTCCCCGAGGAAAGGTATCACAAAAAGAAGATTTCACCATCGGGAGAATAGGTAAAAAAGGATCATCCATATGATGAATCTGCTAAATATATCAAAGAATTTAGATAAGTTTGTTGAAGACATATTTTTAGCCTAAACCAATTGTGTCATTTGACAGCATTTGTCTACTGAGAGCAAAATTTAATGAAGATGCTTCTATTAAAATAAGGGCAGTACAAAAATTTAATATACGTACCAACGTTGAAGAAGTTACCTTTCACTGAACATTCAATAGTTTTTTATCATACTCAATATCAGATTTTAAAGATAAGAAAGTGAAGAAAACTGCCAATAGTTGTGTGGAGAAGGAAAATGAGGTATCGATTAATCACAGCAGGCTGGAGCAATGTTTGATAGACACAGTTAATTGGACCCCCGACCCAACGTTAGTACCCTGGGGTGTTTAAACAAACTAATAATAAAACAGTCCATCAGATGATGAGTTCGATTAATAAATCTTCATATATATTGCACTATACAAAAGCTATATAGAATCAGATACAGTAATTTTGTGTCAAAAGCAAATAAGGCAGGGAATCACAAAAATATTTGAATATAAAAAGCTATGTTTAACTAGAAAGACAATCAATAAAACATTTTGTTATCTTCTTTGTTCAGTGGTGAGAACAAATCCATGATATGACTTCATCAAGCAATTCCACTACGCCCACTACAAAACTTATATATCTTTTACGAGATGATTGAAGTTTACTCAGTATTTATTAAATAGTTTCCGAACTTCGAACATTTGCAACCCAATGTCATTAATATTACGCACCACCTCGTAGCACTACGGAGCACATCAACTAGTATATAAATGTAAACTAACCCATAATCAGGGTGGAAAGATGTACAGGTTCCGTAAGTGGACATTTAAATTGCTTCGTGAATCCTGGCTGATGGCAATGATTATGCCAGCACCTCTCATCTGCTGTATTGTCCCACCATTAGATTTCTGGATCCATGTCTGTCCACCAGTAATCCCCTTGCAGTCAATCATGTTGCCTCCCTTCCTATGCGTAGCTATTCTTGTCTTCCAGCTGTACCACAGCCTTCCAGTATTCCCGAGAAGCGACTGGCGGAGAAAAAGGAATAGCGTACGGTAGCATGTCCACTCACAACCCCTCTCTTCCAGTTTGCATTACCTCTCACAATTGCAACATTAACAAATCACCATTTTTGCGACTGTAACACCTTCCCACACACCTGACTGCCCTATTACTTCATATTTCAGTTCAGAAGATACTGGCTGATTCATCCTTTTTCCTTCTTTATTCTCAGGAATGACCATTATATTTGTTAACAAACATGGAGCGTTCGAGTTGGGGCTTCCGATAGGTCGTTAGTCAGTAAGATAATCTAATTGCGTTAATAACCATCCAATGTTTGATAGATCAAAAGCCGAACACCTAACTAAAAGATACTAACGTATGATTCATTATGGATATGGAGAGTTAAATTGTTCGAAAGTGTTCAAAAATGCATTAAGGATTATGATGAGAGGATAAGCAATTGGAGAAAACGTCAAGCGATACCTTGTGAAAAGGTGTGTGGCAGAAAGCGAAAGTTAATGTAATAGTCAGCATTTTTAGACCATGAGGAGTGCCACAGGAGCATAAATAAGCATAAAGATATAATGTGCACATATAGATTTGTTTGAGGCTAGTGTGGCACTCACTGGTGAACAATTAACCCTCAAGTGATGCCTTTGACGAACAATTGAGTATGCTTCTCATTATGCTGAATTAATGAGAAAAAATCATGTGACGTTTCTCATTAATATGATTCATGCGAATCTCATGATTCGTTTAATATGTGTTTATCCATGTATTAGTTGCTTATTTCTCTGGATATAAATGTCATCAGACCTTCTTTGTACAGGAACCTCTCTAAGTCACTGTGTCTGGTATTCACTTCAGCGCCGTGACAATTACTCTTACGATGATAATTCCGTGTTGACGTGCAGGTGGCGTGGGTGCAGGTGGACACACAGACCATCCTCACTATCCACAAGCAGGTCATCACCAGGAACCCGAGGATCGCACTGCTGCACAACGACCACCGCACCTGGCACCTCGAACTGAAGAACGTGCGGGAGAAAGACCGAGGCTGGTATATGTGCCAAGTCAACACTGACCCTATGCGGTATCGCCAGGGCTACGTCGACGTTGTAGGTGAGTCAGGCGCTACCGTCAGGGGTACGTCGACGTTGTAGGTGAGTTTGGCGCTACCGTCAGGGGTACGTCGACGTTGTAGGTGAGTCAGGCGCTACCGCCAGGGCTACGTCGATGTAGTAGGTGAGTCAGGTGCTACCGTCAGGGGTACGTCGACGTTGTAGGTGAGTTTGGCGCTACCGTCAGGGCTACGTCGACGTTGTAGGTGAGTCAGGCAGTACCGCCAGGGCTACGTCGACGTTGTAGGTGAGTCAGGTGCTACCGTCAGGGTTACGTCGATATTGTAGGGGGCTAGTCAGGTGTTACCACCAGCGCTACATCGACGTTGTAGAAAAGTCATGTGATACCGGCTGGCTACGTCTATTTTCTAGACGAATCAAAATGAAGCGCCCAATAGTTACTAACAATCATACAAGCAAGGACTTACAAATGAATAACGATGAGCTGAGGTACGTTGGGGTAATTAGTATCTCCCTGCACCAGAGACCGAGGTGAAGCTGCTGGGACAAGCACCTTGTTGCTTCCGTAGTGTCCCCACGTGAGTTGAAGGTAAAATATTATGAGCCTTTGGAGGTTGATCTACTAAGACCACACAGGGAATTAGGGACCAAAGTCACACAGTGGAAAACGATTGTTATTCAGAGACTTCGGGCTCACCATAGCCCGTGCTACTTGGAGCATTTTGTTCCGGGTAGCGAATCTTAAACAACAACAACAACAACAACGGTTCTTATTCTGACAACCGACATGAGTGTCTCCTTGTGTAGTTATTTTACATAATTTATATCTTTACGTTATTCCAGCGATCCTTGAGAAAAGATAATATTTACTCTAACTTCATTGACCTTTGAGGAGAGGTAATATCTAGTTTTGTTTTAATTTTTGGTATTAAGGCAAAATAATGGACTATAAACAAAACCAAGTTGCTATGGAAAATTAAATATATTTATCACGTGTTCTTGACAGTGCCACCAGACATCATCGACCGCGAGTCCTCTGGTGACCTGACGATACGCGAGGGTCAGGACGTGACCCTAACGTGTAGGGCCAAGGGCCATCCGACTCCCAGCATCGTCTGGAGGAGAGAGGACAACCAGGATATCGTCCTCGACACAGAAAAGACAGGTGAGCCTTAATCAGGACATTGCTCACGTCACTGATATGACAGATGAATCACAACCAGGATATTGTCCTCGACACTGTTATGAAAGATGAGTCACAACCAGGATATTGTCCTCGTCACTGTTTATAAAAGATGAGTCACGACCAAGATATTGTCCTCGTCACTGTTATGAAAGATGAGTCACGACCAAGATATTGTCCTCGTCACTGTTATGAAAGATGAGTCACAACCAGGATATTGTCCTCGACACTCATAGGACAAGTCTCATACTCTGATTTGACAGGGGAATTACGCTTAGGGACACTAAAATGATTATTGCATGCTTATATTTCGTGTGAAGTGCTCCTACTATGTCAGATCTCTTATTGTGGCTGAATCTGTTGGTTATTTCAATGTTGCTGATCACGATCTCTCTGGTAATTGTCTTGATATGTGGAGAAATGTTTTCATCGGACTAAATATATATATTAAAAAGTGTTTGGGTTGACAGTTCCCAGGTGTATTTGTAATGACATAAGAAGTATTTGTCTCTTTCCTAGTCAGAACACTGCCAACTTATGGATACCCTCCCGACACAAAGCGAGACGCCATGAAAGAACGAATGTTGTCTATGATTTTACGTTCCCACTTGGAGGACTGTCAGCCCCAAGGATCTCATTGTATTGATAACATCTTTTTAAATTCACCTGACGATACATAAATCATAAAGATCGATGAAAACTCTTAATTTTTGGGCATACAACCATACACTCACCAGAGATATTCTGACAAAAATCATCGACATAGTCGACAGATACTACGAAAATAAAAGATAAGATATAGGCGAAGCACTACATATCAAACACTTATTCAACTATTAGCAATAAGCTTAGAGTTACGTATATGCTACCATCCTCACGACCAAGGCTGAAGATGCAAATCAAATCTTCCCTACTTCAGGAAACATCGACTAGGTAACACTTAACTTCACCTCATCCTACTTGGTAAAATATACTGGAGGGCTAACCACAATCGGGCTGTTAGGGCTGTAGCTAACATGTATATACTGCAACATAATACATTGTTTAGCGTCAAGCCAAGTTTTAAAATGAACATTTTAAAGTTAATTGATCATATTCCTTTTCAGGTGAAGAAGCGCACATGGAATATATAAAGAATTCGTGATAAAATAATTGATCTAACCTAATCGGTCATAATTAATAACAAACATAGAATACCTATATCTATAACAGAGAATATCTGTCTGTTCGAAGTTAGGGGCTAGACGCTTGTGGCTAGCCTCACGAAACGTTGATGGGTGATTGGTCTGGGGTATGGGCTGGTCAGGGTCACCAGAATTCAAGAGCAGAACATCATGTCAAGATCACATTCTGATCCCTCACAACGATTTTTTGGACCTAGCTAAATATTTTGAAAACAAATATTTCAAACAAATTTCTTTGGAAACCAAACTGAGATTATAATTGTTAGAATATTATCTGTAGTACTATTTTTATTATATCAAAGAAGTGTAGAATTGCATCAATTTCTGAGATGCCGATAAACTGGTACGAGTAGTACAGTAATTGATAAGGAATATCAGGGTAAATATTGGTGTCATTCTGCCAGTTGCTCGCCCATGATCTATATTTAGATTTTCTCAGAATAAAATATAGAAAATTTAGGAGTTCCAAATTCTGAATGCCAATTTTTAATATCCATAACATAATTATCATTGTTAATCTTATTCACCTGAAACACCTTTGAAACTGTAGTGAGGCCAATATCAAGTTTCAAGTTTGTGTAATCGAAGGTGTTGGGGAAGATTTTTTTGTCCTGTTTTGGCTCTCGCTGGTTTAATTACGAAACATTTAACAAAAACATAGCTGAGAAAATTCTACCTTATCTCTAATTAACTCAAAGTTTTAGTCCCAATGAAAAAATTAACGAATTCTTTTGAAAAACTAAGGCACTTCGTTTCGCTCACTATAGTCCTTAGGTTAAAGTTATATATCGAAGGGAAATAGTATTCCTGGCTAAAACATGATGAACGAAACATTCATCCTTAATGTTAACACGAAGAAAATTAGACCCAGTGCTAATATATTTTTTATGAACAAAATAAAATATAAAATTTTGACGATTAGACATTAGTGAGTGTCAGTGTTTCATTGGGGCACGTAGTGTCTCCCAAATATGGTTAACTATTGAGATATAATTACAGCAGTCATGGTACCTCTCATGATAAGACAAGTTGTGATGGAAAGTTGTTTAAAGTTGTTTAAGGAGCACTTGATGTATCATTTTAAAACGTTAACTTTTTCCCGAATGGAAAAGGATACCATTGAGATGTGTAGTGGAATAGATAACTATCATTGACACTAGTAGTAGGAGATATAGCTTTAAATGACACTTGTAGTGCCACAGATAGCTTAGAGTAACTCACATTGTGGGAGAAATGTTTTTTAGTGACACCTGCAGTGGGACAGAGTACCTGGAATTACAGTTGCAGTGTGAAAGATAACCAGGCATGACATTTGCAGTGATAGAGGTCCTGCTATCAAACATTTTGAGTAGCAAATTTGCCCAACACTTTGTTCTTCCTTTATATGATCGAAATGAAGTTCACCTCCATCACTAATGAAGCTTCCCAGTAACTTTGTCTATAACTGATCTCCATATCTAATTATATATATTTTGCCAATATAAAAGCTATGTAGTAAAAATTTTATTTCTCTCAATAAAGGAAGCAACTCTAACCTGCAAGTATATATGCAGTCTACCTCTACAGATGACCATAATCTTCAAACATTTAATTTTGACCCACCGCTGCTTTCAGTAATTGGCAGACTTTTGGTATAAAAAGTCGGAAATTCAAACTGCGAATAGGTGCAGAGAGCCAGAATTTGGGTCCAAAATATGGCTCAGGTATCGAATTTGGGATGTTTGGGATATTTTGAAAACTGCAGGGGGTTTGGGCAAAATGTGACCCACAGCCGCTTTCAGTAATTGGCAGATTTTTGTTATAAAACGGTTGAATTTCAGACTGCAAATAGGTGCAGAGATCCTGAATTTGGGTTCAAAATATGGCTCAGGTATCGAATTTGGGATGTTTAGGATATTTTGAAAACTGCTGGGGGGTTTGGGCAAAATGTGAGCCATCGCCGCTTGCATTAATTGGCAGATTTTTGGTATAAAAAGTCGGAATTTCAAACGGCGAATAGGTGCAGAGAGCCAGAATTTGGGTCCAAAATATGGCTCAGGTATCGAATTTGGGATGTTTGGGATATTTTGAAAACTGCAGGGGGGTTTGGGCAAAATGTGACCCACCGCCGCTCTCAGTAATTGGCATATTTTTGGTATAAAAAGTCGGAATTTCAAACTGCGAATAGGTGCAGAGAGCCAGAATTTGGGTCCAAAATATGGCTCAGGTATCGAATTTGGGATGTTTGGGATATTTTGAAAACTGCAAGGGGATTTTGGCAAAATGTGACCCACCACCGCATTCAGTAATTGGCAGATTTTTGGTATAAAAAGTCGGAATTCCAGACTGCGAATAGGTGCAGAGATCCAGAACGTGGGTCCAAAATATGGCTCAGGTATCGAATTTGGGATGTTTAGGATATTTTGAAAACTGCAGGGGGGTTTGGGCAAAATGTGACCCACCACCGCCTGCAGTAATTGGCAGATTTTTGGTATAAAAAATCGGAATTTCAAGCGGCGAATAGGTGCAGAGAGCCAGAATTTGGATCCAAAATGTGGCTCAGGTATCGAATTTGGGATGTTTGGGATATTTTGCAAACTGCAGGGGGGTTTGGGCAAAACGTGACCCACCGTTGCTTTCAGTAATTGGCATATTTTTGGTATAAAAAATCGGAATTTCAAACTGCGAATAGGTGCATAGAGCCAGAATTTGGGTCCAAAATATGGCTCAGGTATCGAATTTGGGATGTTTGGGATATGTTGAAAACTGCAGGGCGTTTGGGCAAAATGTGACCCACCGCTGCTTTCAGTAATTGGCAGATTTTTGGTATAAAAAGTCGGAATTTCAAACTGCGAATATGTGCAGAGAGCCATATTTTGGATCCAAAATATGGCTCAGGTATCGAAATTGGGATGTTTGGGATATTTTGAAAACTGCAGGGGGGTTTGGACAAAATGTGACCCACCGCCGCTTTCCATAATTGGCAGATTTTTGGTATAAAAAGTCGGAATTTCAGACAGCGAATAGGTGCAGAGAGCCAGAATTTGGGTCCAAAATATGGCTCAGGTATCGAATTTGGGATGTTTGGGATATTTTGAAAACTGCAGGGGGTTTGGGCGAAATGTGACCCACAGACGCTTTCAGAAATTGGCAGATTTTTGTTATAAAAAGTCGGAATTTCACGCGGCGAATAGGTGCAGAGAGCCAGAATTTGGATACAAAATGTGGCTCAGGTATCGAATTTGGGATGTTTGGGATATGTTGAAACTGCAGGGGGGTTTGGGCAAAATGTGACCCACCGCTGCTTTCAGTAATTGGCAGATTTTTCGTATAAAAAGTCGGAATTTCAAACTGCGAATATGTGCAGAGAGCCAGAATTTGGATCCAAAATATGGCTCAGGTATAAAAATTGGGATGTTTTGGATATTTTGAAAACTGCAGGGGGGGTTTGGGCAAAATGTGACCCACCGCCGCATGCAGTAATTGGCAGATTTTTGGTATAAAAAGTCGGAATTTCAGACTGTGAATAGGTGCAGAGATCCAGAATTTGGGTTCAAAATATGGCTCAGGTATCGAATTTTGGATGTTTGGGATATTTGGAAAACTGCAGGGGGGTTTGGGCAGTATGTTACCCACCGCCGCTTTTAGTAATTGGCAGATTTTTGGTATAAAAAGTCGGAATTTCAAACTGCGAATAGGTACAGAGAGCCAGAATTTGGGTCCAAAATATGGCTCATGTATCGAATTTGGGATGTTTGGGATATTTTGAAAACTGCAATGGGGGTTTGGGCAAAATGTGACCCACCGCCGCTTGCAGTA